ATTAAATTCCAGTGAAATATATTTATGTTTGTGGTTGTAATGTGACAAAATATGGAAAAGTTCAAGGGGTATGAATACTTTTGCAAACCTCTGTAAATGTTCTGTATAAAGCATTATGATGTAACTTATTACCCTGTCTGTTAAAGTGTTAAAAGTTATGAATAAAAACAAGTCTTACTTCTGGAATAATAAGTCTTCAGTCCTACGTGTAATGAAACGCCACACAGACACACAGCAAAGCCCAGCCAGTTCAGAACGCTCATTTTATCTCCCAGAGAAGCTGCCAACAGCAGCGTGCAGATTTCCTGCACAAACAGAATGCACCATCATCACCATCATAATCATCATCATCATCCCTCTGTTAGATTACAGACAACGGTTCTGACCCAAAACAAGAAAGCTGTAATATTTGTTAGCTTCAGTTGATCTCAGAGAAAAGAAGGTGTTTTCTCAGAGTTCACAGCGTTTCAGAAAAAACTGTTTCAGATTTTTCAACCAGAGTGGGCTCTTTTTTTTGGTTTCAAAATAAAACAAGAAAAAACAAATATTGTGTTTCAGAAAAACAATTGCAAAATCAAGAAATGTTATTGTTTTTATTTTACTGGATAAAGCAAAGACAAGCTTTACTGTATATTTTGTTATATTTTATTTGGGATTTTCTGGCGAAACATGAAATCCTGTCCTGAACTCCTGCAGCGTGACCTTTTCACTTCTCATGTTTGTCTTATTTAGAGTCGACTCATCACGTTGACAGCTGAAGATCTTATCGTGAATAAAATGACTTTCATGTTTTAGGTTAGCAGAATAAATAAAAGTGCAGTTGGTTGTTAACATCTTTAGGAAGGGTTTGTTTTTAAACAGCCACTAGAAACTCTTCTTGTTTGGTGACATCTGTCATTTCTGATATCGCTACAAATCAAAACAACCTTTTGTTTTATTTTGGGTTTAGAGCTGAGGCAAAAATCTAATTGTTAGGTACTGTATTTATTCGTGTATAATATGATCTCATGTATAATACGACCCTCCCTCTTTTGAGCATAAAAAGCATAAAAAATTAATCCTCAAACTACGTCCAATTTCATACAGACTTCAAGATTTTTCAGACTTCGGAGTCTTTATATAGAAGATGGACCATCTTGTGGGGGAAAAGCAGATTACTTCCTACTCACGAGCGCCCCCTCTGGTGGGGAAGTGTTTTTTCAGGGATACAAACTTTTTCAGAACACTGGTAGACGGCAGCCATTACAGACGAACATGTGTTTGTTGTTCGAGGAGCGGCTCGGTCACATGCTAATGTCATTAGTTTGTTATCATTACTGAGCTGCAGGACTGCTTTTTTCCTCTTTTTTTCACATCATGTCTCCTGCCTGCATCTGTTATTATCTCACTCTGAAGCGCAGAGGAGTGTCAGAGGTGAGCTCGTTTCAACTGCTTTTTAYGACRCGGTCTCATTTCCGGACTCAGGCATTTTGTGAATGAAGCCGATATTTCAGTTAAAATACATAAGTAAAAATACTTATCAAAGTATAGTGCTACCCCCCAACTTTATGGATGATTTTATGGATTTAGTTTTACGTATTGTACTTGAATAAATACGGTAGTTTGATTTTATATTTAGGTTTTAAAAACTTTGAGATTTTATTTTGAAACTGAAAAACCAAAAAAACGAACCGTACACAGATTGTTTTTCACATTCTGAATCCAAGATTTCTCTGTCTGGAAGAAGTGAGGATCGATTCTCGGAGTCGTTGGACACCTTGTTTCTACTTTTCTGTCAGTTAATAACATTTCTCCCTGACGGTTTGGTGGACTGAGCCAGCTGTAAGGTACCTTAACGATCCCTGAGATGGACAGGGTGAGGCTGGAGGTCCGCGAGACGAGCAGAAACTCTGAAAAGCCCAAACCGAAGGCCAGCGTGCCGCCGACGCTCAGCGTGAAGAGAGAATACAGGAGAGGAGAGAGCTCCGTGACCCGGAACAGCTTCTCAGAGGAGCTCAGGCTYAGAGCTGCAGGAAGGCAGAACCAAACCGTCCGTTCACACTTCTTACATTAAAACCTTAAAAACATCCAGTTATTCTTATTGAGAGGTTTGTTTAAAGAAAGCCTGACCTTCGTTATACAAGAAAAGAGGAAAGAGGCTCAGAAACATGAGTGGTTGTAGATGGTACATGGCATCTATTGGATTCTGAAGGCCTGAAAAAGGCAGAAAAAACAAAATTAAATAGGAAGAAAATATCTAAGTCATGAGTTAACATAATAAAAAACTGAAACACAGCATAAACAAATAATCTGTATGTACTGTGAGTGCAACAGAAATGAGTTTGTTTGTTAAACTCTCATCTCAGCTGCTTGAAAACACTAAAACATGTTAAAAGAAGAAAAATCAGCAAAATCTGTCTTTTTAGCTGTTAAATACATTTTGTTGTACTTGGAGTTTCTAACAGGAAGAAATGTAGTCTCTCCAGGTGCTGCATAGATACTTTTACATTCTGTTTGGGTCATATTTTTCAGCCTTATATCACAGGTTTTGCTGCAGAATTGCTAAACAAGGTCATAGACTTCAGACTGACCAACATCCTGACCAGCCATCATATGTCCACTAAATTTAAAGGGATCCCCGAATAGTTGTAACATTAGACTTTATTTGATAAACATATATTTTAACTGTAAAATGAAGACTGTAAAAATACTGTAGGATGTTTAG